CAGGGGGGCCATCAGGTGAGAAATTGGGGATCAACAGAGGTGAGGCTTAGAACCTCACACCCCCCTGTTCTGAGAGAAATCTTCTGCATCCGTGGAGGTTTTATTGCCCCTGTCTAGCTCGAATTAACACATAGTCTATAGGCACACACCTGATCATCTACATTTGCTCTCTTACAACACTAAACTATGTTTTCTACCTTTATCTTGCATCTACCTACCACTTCAGCATTTTATTAAAAATAATAATAATAGAGAAATGTGATATCCACATATAAATCAAGTATAAAAATCAAACGAATATTCATATTTGAACTGATTGTTTATAGTTCATAATGCATGATCAAAACCGAAAGTTTCTGTGATGACTGCCCTTGCACTGTTCACCATGTAACTTATTCACTATGTAAGCATTTGTTCTCCATGTAAGAACTTGTTCGTTATGCTTCAGAAGATTGGAGACTGATGAGAATTAGGCTTGGGGTGGATTAATGATTGTGCATTGAGCACTGACTCCCCTATACAGAATTTTATTGCTGTTAACAACCATTTGATCAATAAATATGAGAGATGCCCTCTGAAAAAAAAAAATAAGAAAAAGCTCAGGTCCTCAGTATGTAAAATTGAACAACACAGAGGAGTAGGAGCCAAGAAACTAAGCCAGATCGCGTTATCCCAACCTTCTTTACTGTGGAGTTAAAAATATTATATCCACAAATAAATGCAAAGCAATTATAATTAGTCATTATATTGAAGCACTGAAATTTCACTCAGGGGTGTAAAGTAGCATTATCTTAAACTGGAGGTAAAAGGTGTGCAGTGGTGGAAGTATTAAAGTTTGAAATAAAAGAAAGAAAGCCAAAAAAAAAAAAAAGAATACATGCATATATGTGTAAAGGCAAAATATGTGTGTGTATTTTATAGGATAGGCTATAGAGCGAAAGCCTTTAGCCATCTTCACTTTATGCATTCTTACCTTCGAAATGTAGGTGATGCAATGTCAGGATATTTGGATCCTGGCTGCCTGAGCCCTTGTGTGCCACAGGCACTGGCGGAGGTGGGGCTGGATTTGGGGGAACCTGATAAAGACAGACTCTCCGAGTCCGAGACTGCTATTCTCTCCTTCTCCTTGTCTGTTTGGTTGACAGTGACGGGACTGGAGCGCCCAGACCCAATCTTAGTGGGTTCTCTCAGTTTGGAGGCGGTGGCCCCCGCTGACTTGCTGCTAACATTGGAATCAATACTGCTGGTACTGGATCTGTGGCCCCCCCGACCCGGAATGCCACTGGTGCTGGACTTTGCAGGGCGGGGCAGGCTGCGGTACTGTAGGGATGTCTTTGAGCTCATGTGAAGCACAACGTCATCTTGATTCTGCGAGCCGTCCAGACTGGTTTTTCTCCCTGTATTTGATGTCCCACCAATGGCAGCAGACTTGGGGATTTTACCCAGCGTGGCTGACCCACTCGTTATTGTCGCTCCACTGCTTGTGATCATAGCAGACGACCCTACTCCGCTTGGTTTCTTAAACCCAAAAGAGCCGGTGGCAGTTGACCTTCCAATGCCTGAGGGGGGCTTTTTCCCCTCATCTCCACTGCTTCTTCCTGCATCTGAAGGAGACCTTTGTAGAGGCGAGCCTTTCAGGGCCGTTTTCCCTTTCTCTGAAGCTTTGGCATCATCAGTTTTCCCTAAGCAATGATAAATATATAAATACATGCAATTTGATGTCATAATAATATTTCTTTCAGTATTGTGCAAAATGTCAATATATCTTTACATTACTTCAATAAATATTTGCTGTTTTATATCTAAATAAGCATTTACTCCAAATATGTTGTGAGACTGAGTACACAGCCACAAAACTTCAGCTGTCAGAGGAAATGGGATGAGAGGTCAAGGAGATGAGATATAGAGAGATTTGCTTTTTAGTGTTGTCTTACATCTTGCAACTCTCTTCTTTTACTGCATTTAATCTTATCAAGCCAAGTAGCTGGAAAAAAGAATGCCTTTGAATATTTGTGAGACAATTTTATTTGGAAATATCCTGTTACATCATTATTTCAGGTGGTCCTATTTAAAAATTAGGGAGATTTTAAAATGGGGAGAGAGTCTTTAAAAAAAAAGTCTGATATAATCTGGCAGAATTCTTTCACTTTCTTTTTTCATAAAGTCTAATTCACAAATGAGGTTTCAAATCTTCAGCATTTCAATCCATTACATTAGTGTGATTGCTCTTGCCTCTTAGAGTTGGTAGTGAAACTTAGTGGCATACTTAACATAAATATTCCAAACTTTCATGAGGAAGTCAGGATGAAAGCAATCTTATTTTTACTAAGCAGGCTTAATTTATTTCCACATGAACAGAAATGAGTGTGGCAAAAGACAGTCAACAGCCCCACATTATGAATGTGATCGTAAGAGAATGAGTAGAGTAGATAGTTCATGTGGTCTTATATGGTGAAGTATGTAAAATTTACATAGAAAAAACTATTTTACTATACAGAAGAGAATCTGACTTAATTTAAAAAGCTATTATTAAGAGAACAAAGGTTGAATGGAAGTAGTAAATTCAAACACTTTTGCATCACAGCTGCCAAGTGATAAGCCTACCAGGGGTCTTAAGTGCACCTGTCCCAGCTTTCTGCCGGGATGGTGGTCCTCCTTGGGCGGACATGCCTCTTCTCCAGGAACCTGTCTGTGAAATGGACAGGGAGGCTTTCTGCCCTGCCTTCTCGGGGTCTTCTGCAATTCCTGAGGCAACACCCTTCCACTTGCTACCACCATCCCCATGGCTGTCAAAGTCCTCCTCTGTTTTTTTCAGCTCCTCAGTACTATCCCATGTGTCATCTGCTGTAGAACGTTTCTCTGAATCTGTCTTCAGCTATAAAGAAAATAGTATTTAAAAATTTGTGCAGAACAATCTACAAAGTATGAATAAAGCACTGGAAGGTACTTTCAGATAACTGGCAAAATAAAGGAAGCACTGATTTGTATTTCAAAAGAATTCCAAAGACTCCTCTATTTTTATCTATGTCTTCATTTAAGTCTCATTAATTTTAGCCACATAATTCTCACTTGCATATATTAGAGGATGTCAGAACAAATATGTTTGAAAACCCTAATTAACTCCAAAGAAGAATTTTCTGTGTTAAATCTAACAAGGAAAAGTAAGACAAGATAAAACTTAATCATCTAATACCGATTCTTGATTTATTATTCTCAAGAGATCCAGTAATTTATTTGAGATCAATATAAAACTAAGGAAGAACTATACAAACTTAGACTTTTAAAATAATTTTTAGATTTTAAACAAATATATTACTGTTATAAAGAGAGATACAGCAACATAAGTCTTTCTGGGTTAGACTGTAATCAATAGAGAAAAATACATACACATAAACTGCTTTAGTCTATACAATCATTTCAGATTATGACAATCTATATTTTAATGTAATATGAAATAATTTGGGGGAGAAAACTGGTAGAAGCACTGGAAAAGAAAGAGGCAATTCTCACCTGGGTGCCCTTCCGGGAAGGGATGGTGATGTTGGAGTAGGAACTGACTGAGGAGGTGGTGTTCAAGTCGTCCGTGCTGATGTTATCAAGCGTGTCGCTAAGACCACTGCTCACAGAGCTGCTGTCATCCCAGCTAAGGGCAAGACAGCGAGGTGAACACCGGAGGCACCATGCAAGCCACCTGCATTCCCATAGAACTTCTCATGTATCGGGAAGACAATCCCTTTTTTTAAATCTATACAAAATCATTCACTTCCTATTTTTGAAAAATTGTATAAGTAAGAATTGAACACAGGCCTGAGCATAACCTTATCTGCTATTTGCAAGGAATCAGTGTCCGGTGCGGGTCCAGATTCCAGGGGAATGTTTAAAGAAGGCAGGAAATTGCATGGTGTCAAGAAAGAATAAAATTACCCATGACTTTTTTTTCCCTGAAAAAGTAACAAAGCATGTAAGAATTCATCCAACTGTGCTTTAGTCAGGAGCCAGAAAGTCATTCTGGTCTTTTACCTTAGTAGCCACTTCAAATCACTCACTAAACCTGAAAGATGGAGATTCACTCTATCGAAATCCTCCTTCCTGTCATCCCTCAAAATTTCTGACCTAGACAATAATACCCTTCCTTTGGTCTTTCTCAATAAAACTTAATCTGCTAAACTTGGGTCAACCATCACAAATTCACATCTGGCTATGTCACGCCTCTGCTTAACACTCTTCAAAGACTTCTTGCTACCAAAGCAGTAGATTCCTACCTCATGCGGAGGACAAGGCAATCCCTGGGGCATAAAAAAAAAATCTGAAATTCTGAATATATTTGTTTTTAATCTAAAGAATAAATAAAATAGGCAATATTAATACTGCCCATTTCATGGGCAGACTAACACTGGCACCCTCTCTTAGCTGATGTGTTAGTGGGGCAGGAGTTGGGATGAGCAGGCTGACCTGAACAGCAATCACAGTGCGAACGGCGCAGTGTGAACAGCAGCTCCAAAGCGAAGGGGTTGCCCACGGTGCCCCATTTACCGGCTGTTCCTCAGTCTGCTGTGACCTATTACTGCCTATCTGTGCTCTATTAACTGAACTCATGCGCAGTGGATACAGGTACCAGATATCAACAAAAAGTAAGTTTCATAAAATGGACAAGTGGCTTAGGAAACCTCTGCAAATAATCCACACAGTGAATGCAATATATGTAATGAAAGCATATCACGCATAATGACAATTTTTCTTCTTGTGATGAGAATTTTTAAGACCTACTACTCTTTTAGCAATATACAATACACTACTCTTAACTATGGTCCCCATGGTGTACATTACAACCCCAGGACTTATTTATACCTGGAAATTTGTACTTTTGACCACCTTCACCCATCTTTGTATTTTTAAAAAGAGCAAAAGGGTACTTTGCACCACTGTAGCAAATATCTGTCATTTGTGGCATATTAAATCTTTTGAATACACTCTCTACATCTTACTTTCACAATTTCCACATTGAGTCTTATCTTCCCAAGGTAGTTTACAGAAAATTCACATTCTCAGACTCCCTTACAGATTCAGCATGCAACACAAAGCCTATCATATGTATCCAGAGTCACAAATGAGAAACACAATCCTCAGGCAAATATGGCAGCAGAGTCACTCGCTTCTTCTCCACCAGCACTGGCAGATACCGCCTCCTCCCCTCTTTTCACCCCTTTTCTCTTGAAATGCACCAATGACAGCTTTATAAGCTCTTTGTAAACTTCAGGGAACTCTCCAGAATCCTTAATGTTTCCTCTTTTTTACTATTCCTTTGAATTCTTCAATAGTCAGAACTTAACTCACATTAGACATTTACCTTGGACATTTCCTAGTCTCTCACTTCAATATTGCTTCTGTGATCATGACACTCAAATTCACATCCCTGATTCTGACCTCTTTCCAGACCGTGAGATCAGCATTTCCAGCCTTCAAGTGGACAGCTTCTCAAAGATATCCTGTCAACATCTCAAAATCACCCTGCCTAGATTACATTCTCTTTAAAACCTACTTTTTATTTCCATTATTGGCATGACCTGTTAATTCTTCTGCCATAAAAATTAGTGTTATTACCATTCTTCTCTCACTTGGCTCCATTCTTTGTCAGGTCGTCTCTAATCACTGAAAATCCTTTTCAGATCCAGGTAACATGACCACCCTTTTGTTCCACATCTTTACTTCCTATGTTTATCCCTCTTTCCATTAAAGCTATTAGTAAGTATCTGCTCTTACTTATTAAACAATGAATAAATTATAGCTCCTCTCCTGAAGAACTCAGTGTTCACTGTGGAGGACAAAAATTTTAAGAAATGATGATAACATAAAAGGGTAATGTGTAGTGGTTGATGTGAGTGCTAAATGTATGGCAGGACAGACCTACTTGTCACTTATTTGAAGAGTTGAAGAATTTTTTCATGATTGGAATACTGTGGAATGATCAGATGAAATCCATGTATTATAGCATATATCACCTGTTATAACCCTTTTTTCTGTTTTTCTATTTTCTTGGTCATAATATGAATTACCTGAAGTCAGGGACTATGTTTAATTTACCTTTATAATCCTAGCATATAATATGGTGGCTATTCTGAAAAGATGCTAGTAGAAGTTTGTTAAGTGAATGAAACACTTTTACTTTTGAAAACGCAGCTTCTATCCAGTAATGTTAAATTGGATTGAATCCAATAATATATGTAAATTTTGAGAAAAATTTATTCAACATATTTCTTTGCTAAGCAATCATAATGGAACAATTTTTGATTCCTGACATTATTTTCTTAAAGTTCAGTGACTTTGACTTTTGCCTTTGATTTTGTAGATACCAGAATTCTTCCTAAGATGCAATTAATCATGTTTATTATTGCACAATTGAGTTGCAAAAGCTTCACAGAAAATAGGGTTTATTAATGAAAAGATAATTTACTCATATAATTAGCTTTGAGTAGGTCTCAAATCTCATAAATATTTATTCTTCATCATTTCATTTTTAATTTCATTAAGAAGTGCTAAGAATTCTTGACTATATACTTTATAAAAGGGCAACTCTTTTTTCTTCAAGTTATAGATCTATCACTTCACTAAATTTTTCTCAACAATCCAGGAAAGCTCAATAAATCATATATCTTATCCATATAGCTTGCATTTACACATTGGTTGTTTCCAGTTTTAAAATACTATGAATAAAGCTATTAAGAACATTCACATACATTCCACCCATGTAACACTTTAGAACAGGCAACACTACAGATATGCAGGACAGATCAGTGACTGATGGTTGTTAAGGATGTGGAAAGCTGTGTGGTGGCCATTATATGATTTGAGGCATATGTCAAAATTTAGACTTGGAGAAGAAAAAATATTCCATGTAAAGTAAACAAAAAAAAAGTAGTCTATTTTGTCAAACTTGTTGGCAAATTACAATTTGGATACACACTAGAGTACTAACTATTCTAAGAAGAAAATGATTGCTTTTGGCATGTCTTTTGCTATTTATACTCTTCATGCTCACTGGCTCAATGGGGCCGGGGGTCTATTTTATCTGGTAGTTCATTTGTACCTCTCACCCCTTGTTCACCTCTGGATGCATACTGAGATGTAGACTTGCTTGGAAAGACCTTGAATATGTTACATATTCAAGGTCTTTCTTTTTCTTTTTTTTTTTATTTCCATGATAAGGAATTCTGAAATATTAACTAAATAATTGTTAAAATAATTTTACAGATTTAAAACTAATTCCAGAGGAAAATGCTAGTCTGGCTTGCATGTAATTTTTCAACATACTCCTGTGTTTTGGTGTGGTGGCACTTGACGTAGAAGGCACTCAGTCAGGCTCATTGATAGTCTGTACTGGTAGGTCATTGTCCTGCTTATACATGGACACATAAAACATTTCAATAAATAACTAGTTCCTATACTTGAGGCATTCAACAGTAGCTCCTTAAATTTTCTAGCTCATTAAATATTCCATTAATGAAATAAATGAACATGTTTATTACTACTGATTCCTCTGGAGGTATCTATTCCTATCTTAATTCAACTCCAATAATGAGAATGCTGTCTGCCAAGGTGACGTTATTTCTGATTTCTATAAAATATCTTATTAGTCCTAACTTTTTAACAATACAGTTTTTGTTAGCTTGTTTTATTAAAAGTTAAAATAAGAAATAGCCATATAAGTGATGTTTGTGTATCTTTTTGAATGCTTTGAGTTTATACTGTATGGTTATATAGAAAAATGTAATAATGGATATTACAGAATTTATCAGTACATGAATGTTCTTAGGTCACTGCTATGGGATCAAGTGTCTGAGGTTTGACATAGTGTTCCAAAACATAAAGTTCTTCCACCAGGTACCAGCATGTATATCTTACTACCTCATTCATTATGATCCTTGCGATATCCACCCAATTCTTAATGCTAACAGTAGTCACCTGGTTGGACCCTGTAGCACCAATCGTGAATAGATTATTCACACTGCTTTAGATACCTGAATGCTACTCACTCATACTTATCAGTTCACTAGGCATTACTTTGATTTATTGGACAGGGCTCAAACCAAGTTAAAAAATGTTAAGCAAATTCAACATTTTTAATATATTATTTTAATGCAAATGCTGAAGTCATTTGCCATTGGAAAATAAGGTAAACAATGGTAGATAATATAATTAACATGTTCATTCTGGTGCTTGGACATTCATCAAATATATAGGGTGACACACTACATGTATGTGAGTACTAGCAGACACAGACAAGTATGGAGATTTCCACTTACTCCTCAAGTATATACTCTGCAAAGGTGATTTTTGTGATTTTTTTTTTTTTTAGGCATAAGTGAGGTTAAAAAAAAGAAAGAAAAATTCTAGAGGCTTGAAATAAAGGGGATAAAATTCCTAAAATTTCATTGGCATGTATAAAAACTTCTGGATATGCTTATTACTAAGGGAAATGTATATAATATTTGCATAACAAAATAAAGGCACCGCTTTAAAAAAAACCCATCACATTCCAGGATAACTTTGTTTTCCATTTCACATTATTTATGGTAATTTAAATAATATACAGAAGGAGATACAGATATCTTTAAAAACATGTGTTTAGATACAATGACATTTGCA